ATGGGGGTCTATGAGGGGGCTATAGGGGGTCTATGAGGGGACTATGGAGTGTCTATGGGGGGGATATGAGGGGCCTATGGGGTGTTTATGGGGCGCTATGGGGGGATATGGAGGGGCTATGGGGTGTCTATGGGGCGCTATGGGGGGGCTATGGGGGTGTAGGGGGGGCTATTGGGGGTCTATGAGAGTCTATGGGGGTCTGTGGGGGGATATGGGGGGCTATAGAGGGTCTATGGGGGGTCTATGAGGGCCTATGGGAGGTCTATGGGTGTCTATGTAGGTCTATGGTGTGTCTTTGGGGGTCTGTGTTGTCTTTATGGGGGGTTATGGGGCCCTATGGTGTGTCTGGGGGGGTCTGTGTGGTGTCTGTGGGGCGCTATGGGGAGTCTATGGGGGTCTAAGGGATGCTATGGGGGTCTGTGGGGGGTCTATGGGGCTCTATTGGGTATCAAAGGGGGGTGCAGGCAGGGGCTTGATGGGGGGCCTACAGGGGGCAGTAAAGGGCCACAGGGGGCGGGGTCAGCCGAAGACACGCCCCCTTGTCTGTGGGGCAATGGAGTCCAATGGGGCTACGGGCATCTATGGGGTGTTATGGGTCCCTATGGGTCTCTTTGGGGTCTCTGTGGGTCTCTATGGGGTCACTGTGGGTCTTTATGGGGTTTCTATGGGGTCTCCATGGGTCTCTATTGATCCCTATGGGGTCTTTATGGGTCCCTGTGGGTCCTGAGGGGTCTCTGTGGGTCCCTATGGGGTCTCTATGGGTCCCTATGGGTCCCTGTGGGTCCTGAGGGGTCGCTGTGGGTCCCTATGGGGTCTCTATGGGTCCCTATGGGTCTCTATGGGTCCCTATGGGTCGCTGTGGGTCCTGAGGGGTCGCTGTGGGTCCCAGGCAGGTTCCCGGAGCCGGGGCTGCGCCTCAATGGGCAGCACCGGGAGAAGCCGCTGCAGCGCTGGGAGGGCGGCGACGGCGCCTGCGACGAGTACGACCTGGACTCGGACCTGGTGAGCCCCAAAACGGCCTCAGACACCCCAAAAACGGCCTCAGACACCCCAAAAACGGCCTCAGACACCCCAAAAATGGGTTAAACACCCCAAAAATGGCCTCAGGCACCCCAAAAATGGGTTAAACACCCCAAAAATGGCCTCAGACACCCCACCCCAAAAACGGCCTCAGACACCCCAAAAATGGGTTAAACACCCCAAAAATGGCCTCAGGCACCCCAAAAATGGGTTAAACACCCCAAAAATGGCCTCAGGCACCCCAAAAATGGGTTAAACACCCCAAAAATGGCCTCAGACACCCCAAAAATGGGTTAAACACCCCAAAAACGGCCTCAGACACCCCAAAAACGGCCTCAGGCACCCCAAAAACGGCCTCAGGCACCCCAAAAACGGCCTCAGACACCTAAAAAACAGCCTCAAACACCCCAAAAATGGGTTAAACACCCCAAAAACGGCCTCAGACACCCCAAAAATGGGTTAAACACCCTCAAAAATGGCCTCAGACACCCCAAAAACGGCCTAAAACACCCCAAAAACGGTCTCAATCACCCCCAAAACGGCCTCAAACACCCCAAAAATGGGGTAAACACCCCAAAAATGGGTTAAACACCCCAAAAACGGCCTCAGGCACCCCAAAAATGGGTTAAACACCCCAAAAACGGCCTCAGACACCCCAAAAACGGCCTCAGACACCCCAAAAACGGCCTCAGGCACCCCAAAAATGTGTTAAACACCCCAAAAATGGCCTCAGGCACCCCAAAAATGGGTTAAACACCCCAAAAATGGCCTCAGACACCCCAAAAATGGGTTAAACACCCCAAAAATGGCCTCAAGCACCCCAAAAACGGCCTCAGGCACCCCAAAAACGGCCTCAGGCACCCCAAAAACGGCCTCAGACACCCCAAAAATGGGTTAAACACCCCAAAAATGGGTTAAACACCCCAAAAATGGGTTAAACACCCCAAAAATGGCCTCAAACACCCCAAAAACGGCCTCAGACACCCCCAAAACGGGGTAAACACCCCAAGAATGGCCTCAAACACCCCAAAAATGGCCTCAAAGACCAAAAAAAGGGCCTCAAACACCCCCCAAAACGGCCTCAAACACCCCAAAAATGGCCTCAAACACCCCCAAAACGGCCTCAAACACCCCCAAAACGGCCTCAAACACCCCAAAAACGGCCTCAAACACCCCAAAACGGCCTCAGACACCCCAAAAACGGCCTCAAACACCCCAAAACCACCAAACACCCCCAAAATGGATTAAACACCCCAAAACCAGCCTTAAACACCCCAAAAATGGGTTAAACATGCCAAAAACAGCCTCAAACACCCCAAAAATGGCCTAACCCTTTTCCCCAAAATCACTGTTTTTTACCCCAAATCCCTTTTTCCTCCCAACCCCCCCATTTTGACCCAAAATCCCCTTTCCCCCCCCAAAACCCCCAGTTTTTCACCCAAACACCTGCATTTGACCCCAAATCCCCATTTTTTCCCTAAATCCCCCTTTTTCACCCCAAAATCCCTTTTTTCCCCAAAATCACTGTTTTTTACCCCAAAATCCCTTTTTTCCCCCAAATCAGTTTTTTACCCCCAACCCCCCCATTTTGACCCAAAATCCCCTTTCCCCCCCCAAAACCCCCAGTTTTTCACCCAAACACCTGCATTTGACCCCAAATCCCCATTTTTTCCCTAAATCCCCCTTTTTCACCCCAAAATCCCTTTTTTCCCCAAAATCACTGTTTTTTACCCCAAAATCACTGTTTTTTACCCCAAATCCCTTTTTCCTCCCAACCCCCCCATTTTGACCCAAAATCCCCTTTTCCCCCCCCAAACCCCCCAGTTTTTCACCCAAACACCTGCATTTGACCCCAAATCCCCATTTTTTCCCTAAATCCCGCTTTTTCACCCCAAAATCCCTTTTTTTCCCCAAAATCACTGTTTTTTACCCCAAAATCCCTTTTTTCCCCCAAATCACTGGTTTTTACCCCAAATCCCTTTTTCCTCCCAACCCCCCCATTTTGACCCAAAATCCCCTTTTCCCCTCCCAAAACCCCCAGTTTTTCACCCAAACACCTGCATTTGACCCCAAATCCCCATTTTTTCCCTAAATCCCCCTTTTTCACCCCAAAATCCCTTTTTTCCCCCAAATCAGTTTTTTACCCCAAATCCCTTTTTCCCCCAAAACCCCCATTTTGACCCAAAATCCCCTTTCTCCCCCAAAACCCCCAGTTTTTCACCCAAACACCTGCATTTGACCCCAAATCCCCATTTTTTCCCTAAATCCCCCTTTTCCACCCCAAAATCCCTTTTTTCCCCAAACCCCCTTTTTTACCCCAAATCCCTTCCCCCCCCCACCCCCGTGAGTTTCAACCCAAAACCTCCCCCCACCCCCCCATTTTGCCCCCATATCCCCTTTCCCCCCCCCAAAACCCCCAATTTTTCGCGTGTTTGACCCAAAATCCCCGTTTTTCGCCCCAAACCGCGGCAGTCCAACGGCTGGGACCCCAACGAGATGTTCCGCTTCAACGAGGAGACCTACGGCGTGCGGAGCACCTACGACAGCAGCCTGGCCGCCTACACGTAAACCGCCCGCTTTTGGTTCATTTTGGGCGGCTTTGGGGCGGTTTGGGCATTTTGGGGCGGTTCGGGGCTTTTCGGGGCGTTTTGGGGTGGATTTGGGCGGTTTTGGGTGTTTGAGGGCGTTTTTGCTCGGTTTTGCGCCGCTTTCGGGTGGTTTGGGGACAGTTTGGGGTGTGTTTAGGTGATTTGGGGTCATTTTGGGTATTTTTGGCCATTTTTGGTGGTTTGCGGCGTTTTTTTGTTATTTGGGGTGTTTTGGGCGTTTTCGGTGGTTTTTTTTTGGGTGGTTTTGGGTGTTTTAGGGCGTTTTTGTTCGCTTTTGTTCACTTTTGCAACGCTTTGGGATGGTTTGGGGGCAGTTTTGGGTGTGTCTAAGGTGATTTGGGGTCATTTTGGGTATTTTTGGCCGTTTTTGGTGTTTTGGCTCCGATTTTGGGGTGGTTTTGGGTGTTTGGGGCATTATTGGTTTTTTTTGGGTGGTTTTGGGTGTTTTAGGGTGTTTTTGTTCACTTTTGTTCTCTTTTGCGCCACTTTTGGGTGGTTTGGGGACAGTTTGGGGGGTGTTTAGGGGATTTGGGATCATTTTGGGGTATTTTTGGCCATTTTTGGTGTTTTGGCTGCGATTTTGGGGTGGTTTTGGGTGTGTTTTTGGGTGGTGGTTTTGGTGTGTTTGGGGCATTTTTGGCCATTTTTGGGTGTATTTAGGGTTTTCGGTGGTTTTGGGGTAATTTGGGGTGGCTTTGGGTGTCTTAGGGCGTTTTCAGCAAGTTTTGGGTTCTTTTGGAGTGGTTTGGGGACAGTTTGGGGTGTGTTTAAGGGGGTTTGGGGTCATTTTGGGTATTTTTGGCCATTTTTGGTGTTTTGGCTCCGATTTTGGGGTGGTTTTGGGTGTTTGGGGCATTATCGCGTGTTTGGGGTGTTTGGAGCATTATCGTGGGTGGTTTTGGGCGTTTTTGTTCAGTTTTGTGCCGCTTTTGGGTGGTTTGGGGACAGTTTGGGGGGTGTTTAGGTGATTTGGGGTCATTTTGGGGTATTTTTGGCCATTTTTGGTGTTTTGGCTCCGATTTTGGGGTGTTTTTTGGTGGTTTTGGGTGTTTGGGGAATTATTGGGTGGTTTTGGGTGTTTTAGGGCATTTTTGTTCACTTTTGTTCTCTTTTGTGCCGCTTTTGGGTGGTTTGGGGACAATTTGGGGGGTGCTTAAGAGGGTCTTGGGGTCATTTTGGGTATTTTTGGCCGTTTTTGGTGTTTTGGCTCCGATTTTGGGGTGGTTTTAGGTGTTTTTGGGTGTTTGGGGAATTATTGGGTGGTTTTGGGTGTTTTAGGGTGTTTTTGTTCACTTTTGTGCTCTTTTGTGCCGCTTTTGGGTGGTTTGGGGCCAGTTTTGGGTTTGTTTTAGGGTGTTTTGGGGGTCATTTTGGGGTATTTTTGGCCATTTTTGGTGTTTTGGTGGTTTGGGGTGTTTTGGGCATTTTGGGGTAATTTGGGGTGGCTTTGGGTGTCTTAGGGCGTTTTCAGCCAGTTTTGGGTTCTTTTGGGATGGTTTGGGGGCAGTTTGGGGGGTGCTTAAGAGGGTCTTGGGGTCATTTTGGGTATTTTTGGCCATTTTTGGTGTTTTGCCTCCGATTTGGGGGCGTTTTTTGGTGGTTTTGGGCGATTGGGGCATTATTGGGTGGTTTTGGGTGGTTTTGGGCGTTTTTGTTCACTTTTGCGCCGCTTTTGGGTGGTTTGGGGACAGTTTGGGGGGTGTTTAGGGGATTTGGGATCATTTTGGATATTTTTGGCCATCTTTGGTGAATTATTTGGGGAATTATTGGGTGGTTTTGGGTGTTCCCGTTTTCGGTTTTGCTGTTTTTTTTTGCCATTTTGAGGCCAATTTTTGCCGTTTCGGGTCCGTTTTTGGCCGTTTTGGGGTGTTTTTTGCCATTTTGGGGCCAATTTTTGCCATTTCGGGTCCGTTTTTGGCCGTTTTGGGGTGTTTTTTGCCATTTGGGGCCAATTTTTGCCGTTTCGGGTCCGTTTTTGGCCGTTTTGGGGTGTTTTTTTCCCGTTTCCGTGTGTTCTCAGCCCATTTCCCCCCGTCCCCCCCCAGGGTGCCCCTGGAGAAGCAGAACTCGGCGGCGTTCCGGCAGCGGGAGGCGCGCGCGGCCGCGCTGGCGCGGGAAATCGAGGGCAGCCCCCAGCACCGGCTGCGCGCCGCCGCCGAGGAGCACGAGGAGGGGCCCGAGGAGCGCCCGGCGCGGAGGTGGGGCCGAAACGAGCCAAAATTCGGCAAGATCGACCCCAAATTCGGCAAGATCGACCCCAAATTCGGCGAGATCGACCCAAAATTGGGCAAAATCGACCCAAAATTCGGCAAGATTGACCCCAAATTGGGTGAAATCGACCCAAAATTGGGTGAAATCGACCCTAGATTGGGCAAGATCGACCACAAATTGGGTTTTGCCAAAATTGGGCGTTTTTGGCCCAAAATTGGGTGTTTTTTGACCCCAAATTGGGCAAGGCCAAAATTGGGTGAGATTGCCAAATTGGGTCCGTTTTTGGCCAAATTGGGGTGTTTTTTTCCCGTTTCCGTGCGTTTGACCCCAAATTGGGCAAGATCGTCCCAAAATTGGGCGAGATCGACCCAAAATTGGGCAAGATCGACCCAAAATTGGGCAAGATCGACCCAAAATTGGGTGAAATAGACCCAAAATTGGGCGAAATAGACCCAAAATTGGGCGAGATCGACCCAAAATTGGGTGAAATCAACCCAAAATTGGGCAAAATTGACCCCAAATTGGGCGAGATCAACCCAAAATTGGGCAAGATCGACCCAAAATTCGGCAAGGGGTGAGATCGACCCCAGATTGGGCGAGATCGACCCCAAATTGGGCAAGATCGACCCAAAATTGGGCGAAATTGACACAAAATTGGGCAAGATCGACCCAAAATTCGGCAAGATCGACCCAAAATTGGGCGAGATCGACCCCAAATTGGGCAAGATCGACCCAAAATTGGACGAAATCGACCCCAAATTGGGTGAAATCAACCCAAAATTGGGCAAGATCGACCCCAAATTAGGCAAGATCGACCCCAAATTAGGCAAGATCGACCCCAAATTAGGCAAGATCGACCCCAAATTGGGCAAGATCGACCCCAAATTGGGCAAGATCGACCCAAAATTGGGCGAGATAGACCCCAAATTGAGCAAAATCGACCCAAAATTGGGCAAGATTGACCCCAAATTGGGCAAGATCGTCCCAAAATTGGGCAAGATCGACCCAAAATTGGGCAAGATCGACCCAAAATTGGGCAAGATCGACCCCAAATTCGGCAAGATCGACACAATTTGGGCAAGATCGACCCCAAATTCGGCAAGATCGACCCCAAATTCGGCAAGATCGACCCCAAATTGGGTGAAATCAACCCAAAATTGGGTGAAATCGACCCCAAATTGGGCAAGATCGACCCAAAATTGGGCGAGATCGACCCAAAATTGGGCGAGATCGACCCCAAATTGGGCAAGATCGACCCAAAATTGGGCGAGATCGACCCAAAGTTGGGCGAGATCAACACAAAATGTGGTGAAGTTAACCCAAAATTGTGTAAAATTGACCCAAAGTTAGGTAAAATTGAACCAAAATTGGGCAAGATCCACCCAAAATTGGGCAAGATAGACCCCAAATTGAGCGAAATAAACCTGAAATTGGGCAAGATCGACCCAAAATTGGGTGAAGTCGACCCAAAATTGTGTAAAATTGACCCAAAGTTAGGTAAAATTGAACCAAAATTGGGCAAGATCGACCTAAAATTGAGCGAAATCGACTCAAAATTGGGCAAGATTGAACCAAAATTGGGTGAAGTCGACCCAAAATTGGGTAAAATTGACCCAAGATGGGGTGAAATTGACACGAAATCGACCCAAAATTGGGCAAGATCAACACAAAATTAGGTGAAATCGTCTTAAAATTGGGCAAGATCGACCCAAAATGGGGTGAAGTGACCCAAAATTGGGTAAAATCGACCCAAACCTGACCCAAAATCGAGCTAAATTAGCCCAAAATAAAGCCCATGACCCCCCTTTGACCCCCAAACCCCTCCCCCCCACCATTGATCCCTTCCCCCCCCTTTTCCATTGCAGGGACCCCAAGTTCCCGCCCCTCCCCCAACGCCCGCGGGGGGGGCTCCGCTGCTCCTCAAGGGGGGGAGGGGCCCCCAGACCCCCTGGGGGGGGAGGGGCCGGAAGTGCCCCACCCCCACCCCGAGGGCCCCCCCCCCACCCGGAGCCGGGGGTCAATGGAGGTGAGAGGGGGGGGGAGGGGCTTCAAAGGGGGGGGGGGAGGGGCTGCAATAAAGCCCCTCCCCCCACTTTGTGTCCTCTTCCCCTCCCCCCTTTAGGCCCCTCCCCCAAGGCCCAGCGACCCCCCCGTGGGGGGAAGGGCAGCGGAGGGGGGTGCCCATCCCCCACCCCTGGTGAGACGGGGGGGGGAGGGGCTTAATGGGTGCATGGGGTGCCTATGGGGTGGTTATGGGGCTCTTGTGGGGCACGTATGGGGTATATATGGGGTGTGGGTCGCTTAGAGGGTGGTTATGGGTCACTTATGGGGCAGCTCTAGGGTGGTTATGGGGCACTTATGGGGCAGCTCAGGGTGGTTATGGGTCACTTATGGGGCAGTTCTAGGGTGGTTATGGGGCACTTATGGGGCAGCTATGGGGTGGTTATGGGGCACTTATGGGAGGTGTGGGGCACGTATGGGTATATATGGGGTGTGGGTCGCTTAGAGGGTGGTTATGGGTCACTTATGGGGCAGCTCTAGGGTGGTTATGGGGCACTTATGGGGCAGCTATGGGAGGTGTTGGGCACTTATGGGGGTGTGGGGCACTTACGAGGCCGCTATGGGAGGTTATGGGGCACTCACAGGGCAGCTGTGGGGTGGTTATGGGGCACTTATGGGGGGTGTGGGGCACTTATGGGGCATCTATGGGGTGGTTATGGGGCACTTATGGGAGGTGTGGGGCACATATGGGTATATACGGGGTGTGGGTCGCTTAGAGGGTGGTTATGGGGCACTTATGGGGCAGTTCTAGGGTGGTTATGGGGCACCTATGGGGCAGCTATGGGAGGTGTTGGTCACTTATGGGGGTGTGGGGCACTTACGGGGTCGCTATGGGAGGTTATGGGGCACTCACAGGGCAGCTGTGGGGTGGTTATGGGGCACTTACGGGGGGTGTGGGGCACTTACGGGGCATCTATGGGGTGGTTATGGGGCACTTATGGGGCAGCTCTAGGGTGGTTATGGGGCACTTATGGGGGGTGTGGGGCACGTATGGGTATATATGGGGTGTGGGTCGCTTAGAGGGTGGTTATGGGTCACTTATGGGGCAGCTCTAGGGTGGTTAGCACTTATGGGGCAGCTATGGGGTACCTTTGGGTCACTTATGGGGCAGCTATGGGGTACCTTTGGGTCACTTATGGGGCAGCTATGGGAGGTGTTGGGTATGGGGTTGCTATGGGAGGTTATGGGGCACTCACAGGGCAGCTGTGGGGTGGTTATGGGGCACTTATGGGGGGTGTGGGGCACTTACGGGGCATCTATGGGGTGGTTATGGGGCACTTATGGGAGGTGTGGGGCACGTATGGGTATATATGGGGTGTGGGTCGCTTAGAGGGTGGTTATGGGTCACTTATGGGGCAGCTCTAGGGTGGTTATGGGGCACTTATGGGGCAGCTATGGGAGGTGTTGGTCACTTATGGGGTTGTGGGGCACTATGGGAGGTTATGGGGCACTCACAGGGCAGCTGTGGGGTGGTTATGGGGCACTTATGGGGGGTGTGGGGCACTTACGGGGCATCTATGGGGTGGTTAGGGTGGGGGCACTTATGGGGGGTGTGGGGGGTATATATGGGGTGTATGGAGGTGTTATGGGTCACTTATGGGGCAGCTCTAGGGTGGTTATGGGGCTGCAGCTATGGGAGGTGGGTCACTTATGGGGTTGTGGGGCACTATGGGAGGTTATGGGGCACTCACAGGGCAGCTGTGGGGTGGTTATGGGGCACTTATGGGAGGTGTGGGGCACGTATGGGGTATATATGGGGTGGTTATGGGGCACTTATGGGGCAGGGGTGGTTATGGGGCACTTATGGGGGGTGTGGGGCACTTACGGGGCATCTATGGGGTGGTTATGGGGCTCTTCGGGGGGGTTTGGGGCACTTATGGGGCTGCTATGGGGTGGTTATGGGGCTCTTAGGGGGGTTTGGGGCACTTATGGGGCATCTCTGGGGTGGTTATGGGGCTTTTAGGGGGGTTTGGGGCACTTATGGGGCTGCTATGGGGTGGTTATGGGGCACTTATGGGGGGGTGTGGGGCACTTATGGGGCATCTCTGGGGTGGTTATGGGGCTCTTGGGGGGGTTTGGGGCACTTATGGGGCTGCTATGGGGTGGTTATGGGGCTCTTGGGGGGGTTTGGGGCACTTATGGGGCTGCTATGGGGTGGTTATGGGGCTCTTAGGGGGGGGTTGGGGCACTTATGGGGCTGCTATGGGGTGGTTATGGGGCTCTTAGGGGGGTTTGGGGCACTTATGGGGCTGCTATGGGGTGGTTATGGGGCTCTTAGGGGGGTTTGGGGCACTTATGGGGCTGCTATGGGGTGGTTATGGGGCGTGGGGGGAGGGGTCTATGGGGTGGGGGAGGGGCCATAACTCACTCTCTCTCCCCCCCCCCCCCAGCCCCCTCCGTGCCCCTCCCACGCTCCCCCAAACCCAGCCCCTCCCCCCTCCCGGACCCCTCCCCCTCCACCCCTCCCGTGGTGGGGGAGGGGCCGCCGCCCCCTCCCCCCGCCTCCCCCTGCCCCTCCCCCCCCCTTTCCCCCTCCCCCCACCCAGGTTCCGCCCCTCCCCCCCCGGCTCGGACCTCACGGGACCCCCGGAGCCCCCCCGCAAAGGTGAGTGGGGGGGGGGGGGAGGGGCTTGTGACCCCCAAGTGACCCCTCCGTGACCCCCAAGTGACCCCTCCGTGACCCCCAAGTGACCCCTCCGTGACCCCCATCCCCCCCCAGGTCCATCAGAGCAGCAGCGGAACCAATTGGAGGAGCTGAGGAAGTTTGGGGCCCAGTTTAAGGTGTGGGGCACTTGTGGGGCGGCTATGGGGTGGTTATGGGGCACTTATGGGGGGTGTGGGGCACTTGTGGGGCAGCTATGGGGTGGTTATGGGGCACTTATGGGGGGTGTGGGGCACTTATGGGGCAGCTATGGGCTGCTTATGGGGCACTTATGGGGGGTGTGGGGCACTTGTGGGGCAGCTATGGGGTGGTTATGGGGCACTTATGGGGGGTGTGGGGCACTTGTGGGGCGGCTATGGGGTGGTTATGGGGCACTTATGGGGGGTGTGGGGCACTTATGGGGCGGCTATGGGGTGGTTATGGGGCACTTATGGGGGGTGTGGGGCACTTATGGGGCAGCTATGGGGTGATTATGGGTCGCTTATGGGTCATAGGGCAGCTATGGGGCGTGTGGGTTACTTATGGGGCAGCTATGGGGTGGTTATGGGGCACTTATGGGGGGTGTGGGGCACTTGTGGGGCAGCTATGGGGTGATTATGGGGCACTTATGGGGGGTGTGGGGCACTTATGGGGCGGCTATGGGGTGGTTATGGGGCACTTATGGGGGGTGTGGGGCACTTATGGGGCAGCTATGGGCTGGTTATGGGGCACTTATGGGGGGTGTGGGGCACTTATGGGGCGGCTGTGGGCTACTTATGGGGCACTTATGGGGGGTGTGGGGCACTTATGGGGCGGCTATGGGCTGCTTATGGGGCACTTATGGGGTGTGTGGGGCACTTGTGGGGCGGATATGGGCTGCTTATGGGGCACTTATGGGGGGTGTGGGGCACTTGTGGGGCGGCTATGGGCTGCTTATGGGGCACTTATGGGGGGTGTGGGGCACTTATGGGGCAGCTATGGGGTGATTATGGGGCACTTATGGGGGGTGTGGGGCACTTATGGGGCGGCTATGGGCTGCTTATGGGGTATGGGGGGTGTGGGGCACTTAGGGGGCGGCTATGGGCTGCTTATGGGGCACTTATGGGGGGTGTGGGGCACTTCTGGGGCGGCTATGGGGTGATTATGGGGCACTTATGGGGGGTGTGGGGCACTTATGGGGCAGCTATGGGCTGCTTATGGGGCACTTATGGGGGGTGTGGGGCACTTATGGGGCGGCTATGGGCTGCTTATGGGGCACTTATGGGGGGTGTGGGGCACTTATGGGGCAGCTATGGGCTGCTTATGGGGCACTTATGGGGGGTGTGGGGCACTTGTGGGGCAGCTATGGGGTGGTTATGGGGCACTTATGGGGGGTGTGGGGCACTTGTGGGGCAGCTATGGGGTGATTATGGGGCACTTATGGGGGGTGTGGGGCACTTATGGGGCGGCTATGGGGTGGTTATGGGGCACTTATGGGGGGTGTGGGGCACTTGTGGGGCAGCTGTGGGCTACTTATGGGGCACTTATGGGGGGTGTGGGGCACTTGTGGGGCAGCTATGGGGTGGTTATGGGGCACTTATGGGGGGTGTGGGGCACTTATGGGGCGGCTGTGGGCTACTTATGGGGCACTTATGGGGGGTGTGGGGCACTTATGGGGCGGCTATGGGCTGCTTATGGGGCACTTATGGGGGGTGTGGGGCACTTGTGGGGCGGCTATGGGCTGCTTATGGGGCACTTATGGGGGGTGTGGGGCACTTGTGGGGCAGCTATGGGCTGCTTATGGGGCACTTATGGGGGGTGTGGGGCACTTATGGGGCAGCTATGGGGTGGTTATGGGGCACTTATGGGGGGTCTGGGGCACTTATGGGGCGGCTATGGGCTGCTTATGGGGCACTTATGGGGGGTGTGGGGCACTTATGGGGCGGCTATGGGCTGCTTATGGGGCACTTATGGGGGGTGTGGGGCACTTATGGGGCGGCTATGGGGTGATTATGGGGCACTTATGGGGGGTGTGGGGCACTTGTGGGGCAGCTATGGGCTGGTTATGGGGCACTTATGGGGGGTGTGGGGCACTTATGGGGCGGCTATGGGCTGCTTATGGGGCACTTATGGGGGGTGTGGGGCACTTATGGGGCGGCTATGGGCTGCTTATGGGGCACTTATGGGGGGTGTGGGGCACTTATGGGGCGGCTATGGGGTGATTATGGGGCACTTATGGGGGGTGTGGGGCACTTATGGGGCAGCTATGGGGTGGTTATGGGGCACTTATGGGGGGTGTGGGGCACTTATGGGGCGGCTATGGGCTGCTTATGGGGCACTTATGGGGGGTGTGGGGCACTTACGGGGCGGCTATGGGGTGGTTATGGGGCACTTATGGGGGGTGTGGGGCACTTATGGGGCGGCTATGGGGTGATTATGGGTCGCTTATGGGGGGTGTGGGGCACTTATGGGGCGGCTATGGGGTGGTTATGGGTCGCTTATGGGTCATAGGGCAGCTATGGGGCGTGTGGGTTACTTATGGGGCAGCTATGGGGTGGTTATGGGGCAGGTAAGGGGTGTGTGGGTCACTTATGGGGCAGTTATGGGTTACTTATGGGGCAGTTATTGGGTGTGTGGGTCACTTATGGGGCAGCTATGGGCTGCTTATGGGGCACTTATGGGGGGTGTGGGGCACTTGTGGGGCAGCTATGGGCTGCTTATGGGGCACTTATGGGGGGTGTGGGGCACTTATGGGGCGGCTATGGGGTGATTATGGGGCACTTATGGGGGGT